TGAGCGAGAGCGAGTCAAGCACAATGACTGATTGTCGGTTGTGTGCGGTGCTTCTGTACCAGTCGATGGGAAACTGTTGTCTGTCGGCGGTGAGCCAGCGCCAGACATTCTGAAACCGCTGAGGGAGCACGAGAGGCTCAGACGATCACTCCTCTGAGCGCCGGGTGCATGCCGTATGGGTCGCACTCCGCATTCTCCTCTAATCTCCCAACGAACAACGACTCAGAAGATTCGTTCCAATCGCAAGCTTTCCTCGACCCGTGGCCCTTGTCGATTAAAAAAGGTTTAGGGTTAGGGTTTGAGGTCATGAGCCTAGGGTTGAAAGGTTATGAACGCGCTACTAGTTGTTTTTTTTTCTGCTCGAAACTCTACCGCCGCACGTCGAGATGGTTTTTATGTCCACGCCGACGGCTTCCGGTTAAGGGCGCCGTCGGCCCTAACTCATTAGGCCGGGACTAGTGCGAAGTTCTAAGCCGCCGACATCGGGCGCACCTCGTCGTCGGCAAAATCAACGACCACCGGGGGTGAGGGGACCAGTGTTCTTATTCGCCCTAAACCCTATGTGCACATGACTGTTTCTAGAGCGAATAGCGAATAGAGAGATGGTAATTTCTGAGAATGGCTCGCGTTTCGTCAATCAGCTGATGAGAGAGGTGACGACCAAGCTGAAAAAAGACCTCGCTCGGAGAAACAAAAAAAGGGCCGCGAAAAGCACTCTTGCTCTATGGATGAATTTGAAAGCTGTGTGTGTACTGGCTGTGCCAGATAAAAAAGCCCTGATCGCCCTGGCGCCTCGCGGCCGCTCGGCGCGCAGGGGGTCGGTCCCACCCCCTCTTCGAGTCCCGAAGAATAAAACCCCCTACATTCACATTACCCCCGACTGCCAGAGGAAGAAGATGACGAAGAAAAAGAGACGACACAGAGAACGCTGCCATTTCGAAGGCGAATTGTGTTTTATACGCGAACCGTTTCACGTATCCACACTTTAGTTTATCTACTTTATCCCAGTGTGCTTGTCCTATTCCTTCATGTTGATATCCTGGCCGGAAGAGATTAACGTCTGGCGTAAAATCATATTGGCCAGGACAAAACGGCCAGGTTTAGGGTTGAATTTTTTTAGATCGGGAGCGGTTCCCCAAGCATGGATGTATGAACCCACCGTGACAGATTTAGTAAAGTAAAGTAAAGCACAGTAGTGTACTAAACTCTCGACTAACGCTTCCAATATCATGATCATTCACCTGTCAACAAGCCACACTGCTGCTCCTATGATTGAGTCGGTTATTTCTCGGCTGTTTCTTCTCCTTTTCGGATGAGGGAGCGTGTATCGGACTACACCCAACCCCCTCCACCTACCCTCATCCCGCGAGACGGCGGCGGGCCCCCCTGTTGCGCATGCAACGAGAAAGGGACGTCTGCGCTGTCCACATGCAGCCGACGATGTGACTGCCGGAATCACAAGCGCCTCTGCACTAACTGTGTCAACTGCAAGCGCGGCACATGCACGAATTTTGCGTATCCGGCGGACCCGGCCGTTTGCGATGATGATGATGATGAATCGGATGCCGTCTCCCCCTCTGCTGGCCCTGCCGTGCCCTCCACGGCTTCCTTTGTCGATGAGAAGATGCGTGAGGCCTTCGGCGAGCCCCTCGTCAACTCCGCCGGTGGACCGACTTTCCCTGAGTGGGAGGCATATCACGAGCGGGTCTGCCAGCTTCGACTGCGGTGCGTGAAGGATCTCAGCAAGCTTGGCAACCTTGGCCGCGCCATCGCCGATGCCATCGCTGATGAGGTGGAGAAGATCTCCAAGCTCGAGGCACCGTCCGAGCGGGCTGGCGTCTTCGTCCGCACACTCATCCAGCGAGATCCGGATGTCAAGAGGAAGCGCGATGTCAAGCGGATGCTCTGGAGGCGGCTGGAGATGTGGCAGAAGGGGCAGGTGGAGGAGCTCGTGTGCGAGGCGGAGCGACTGGACCAGCAGTTCCCCACCACTCAGCCTCAGCTGGACGACGCGTCGGTCTATCGCATCTTCAACAAGCTCATGCTCGAGGGCAAGGTCCGGGCGGCCGTCCGCTTCGTCACCGAGAGGGGCGGCGGGGGGGTCCTCCACCCATCTGCTCAGGCCGAGGAGCGTCCCCCGGGGGTCACGGTGCACGATGTCCTTCGCGAGAAGCACCCACCGCAGCAGCAGCCGCACGAGGAAGCCTTCCTTCCCTGTGACGACCTCCCTCCCCTCATTGACGTGGACATCACGGACTCGACCGTGGAGCGAGCGGCACGGAGCCTCAGTGGGAGCGCTGGACCGACCGGTGGCGATGCGAACTTCTGGCAGACCTTCCTCCTCCGATACGGTGCCAAGAGCGGCCGCCTCCGCGCGGCTGTGGCCTCGCTCGTCTCTACCCTGGCCAACACCATCGTCCCATGGGACAATATCAAGGCCCTGCAAGCGTGCCGCCTCATCGCTCTCGACAAATGCCCTGGCGTCCGCCCCATTGGCGTCGGGGAGGTGCTCTCTTGCCTGGCTGGCAAGTGCATGGCCATGGTGACCCGCTCTGACCTGGAGACGACCTGCGGCACTGATCAGCTGTGCATCGGTGTGAAGGGGGGCCTGAGGGGGCTGTGCACGCGGTGAATGACCTCTTTCAAGAGGACGAGACCGAGGGGCTCCTGCTGGTGGACGCAAGCAACGCCTTCAATCGCATCAGTCGGCCTGCTGCCATCTGAAACACCCGCGTGCTGTGGCCCCGCTGCTCTCGCTATGTGTTCAACACCTACCGATGGTTCGCCGCACTTCACCTGCAAGGCTCAGCCGGCTGTCTGTGGAGCTGTGAAGGCGTCACACAAGTGGGGCATGGGATGAGTCAGGCAGCGATGGGTCTGGGTCAGACATGGACGAGAACGAAAACGCGCCATCAGAAGCGCAAGAGAGGCCAGAAGAAGCCAGTGACACGCCATCAGAAGCAGAGGGGGATGGTGTGGGTATATGTGTGTGTTCTGATGTAGAAGGTGTTGGAGTTGGTGAGGAGGAGAGTTTGTCGGCCTCGTCGGCCCCGTTCGGCCTCTTCATCTAGCGCTTCGCTGCGGCAGTGCTGGTATGCGGATGACTCGTCGGCGCTCGGCAAACTTCACGGCATCCTCGTGTGGTTTCGAGCCCTGCGTCGCATCGGTCCCTCATACGGTTATCACCCAGAGACCGCCAAGTCATTCCTCGTCGTCAAACCTGAGCTCGAGCAGATCGCAAGGGAACTCTTCGAGCCCGAGGGGGTGCAGATCGTCACGGGCAAGAGGTTCCTGGGCGGCTACGTGGGCGATGAGGGCGAGAGGGCGGCGTTCCTCGGCGAGAAGGTCGAGAGGTGGGTACACGGCGTGCGCGCGCTCACGTCTGCTACCCGCAACTTCCCACACACGGCCCACGCGGCAATGACGAGGTCTCTGCAGATGGAATGGGACTACGTCTTTCGTATCGTGCTCACCG